CATGATCTCTCTCACACACACACACACACACACACACACACGTTTACTGTACACACACTACATTTTACTGTTTGCATTTCTAGTACAACCCTCTTTCCTTAGCTCAAGTATGCAAACCTATTTGCCACATGCACTGGAATATGTATTATATTGAAAGTTACATTTTCAAATGAAAATGGCAACATGATCGTTTTATGCGTTCATATGTGCGTCATTTTAGCTGGAGGAAGAGCTGTGGTGTGATGAGGGGTGAACGCAGTGAAAACTTCAGTAGATGGGAAACCGATTATTGCTCCCCCATGATATTTTGTAAACCGGATTTATGACAAAGAACTGCACAGATGCAGATATTATAACAATCTATCGATCTGCGCCGCCGCGCTCTGCGTATTGCAAAAGAACGTGCTGAAAGACTGGGAGGAGCAAGTCTGCCACCGTTTTCAGATGAAATTTAAAGGGTACTGAGGCGATCACGAATCCATGTATAGTTTATGCAAATATCGCAAAATTTTTGTTTTATATATAAATATATATATATTTATATATATCTATAGCCACCCTAAAATGGCCTAGCGACGCCCATGCTCGTAATTTATTTAAAGCACAGACGATGTTATGATGGTTTTTACAGAGCGGGTGTTTTTTGTTTTAATTCGCACAGAATTAATTAGTTTCAACATTCTCTTTATTGCTTTTTTGAAGAGTGGAACAGAACACTGTCCAAATTACATGTATTAAACAATACAACACTGCAATAACACATATCTTCTCGATTTACATTACAGAGTTTACAATATCAAGTTTATTTGTTTGTTTTTCAACCCCTGATAAAAAAAAAACAGGCTACAGACGGTGTGGGTAATATCTTAGATCTTAGGTTAGACAGTACAGTGTCACTGGTCACTGTTAAAATTATCAAATTTTTTTTGTCGTTTTTTTTTTAAAAAGAAAAGGTCCTTTGTGAGGGAATGTGGGCTATCTGTCGAACAAGATGACAGTCGAGGGAAATGCATTATGTTTGGCTTTGTTAGAATTTAGCGCCCTCTGCTGTTAAAAGTCGTTTATTAATCTGCCCACACCATGGCCCTGATTCCTAAAAAAACAATCGAAAAGAAACTGTCTGGGTTCGAAAGCAGCTATCAATTAGTTTTTGCTGATTTGGTTAGCCTTAAACACAAACAACAACGCAATAGGCTTATGTTAAAATAAATAAATACGCGAGTTATATGCGAGTAATATTAATGTATTAGTGTAAAACAGTTGTAGGATTTCATTTCTTGTGGAATTAACATTATTTAGAATACATTCCAAGGTTCCAAGGTTATGGCTAGTAGGGCTAACTTCAGGCTACGTGACCTGCACAGACTTTTATATGCGATATTTTACAATATACCTAGTGTACAATGGCTTTGCAATAATAATAATAGATAAAACTTTACGGATTACATGGTTACATATTGATTACACGGCGTATTATCTCCTGTTCAAGGAAGCGCCGCGTCGAGCATGAACCCACACCAGCCACAGGAGCAGAGCGTCAGTCAGGTGGTCACAACAAGAGACGTGTGTAGGACACGCACATACTGTTACATCGCAGTTAGTAAACAAACTTCATGCATCCACGCCAATAGCTGTCAGTATAAAGTCCAAGACCATTGATGCCTTTGGGACCATCCGAAGAACCAGCTAAACGTAAGCAAGAACATAAACATTGCTGCTGTCGAACCAGTGATTAGATTTTCATCAAAATAATGAAACACTTCAAAGTCTCATCGTTTTGTTAATGACAGTGTATGTTCTGGAGTGACCAAACATTGTTATATCCATGTTTTTCCCAGTATTCGGAACTGGATGGATTACTGGATTTTTAAATAAATGTAAAATATTAGGATACTGATTAGTTTTAGTGTTGTCATTTGTAATTAGCAGATGGCCGGCCAAAACTGTCATTGATCAACTTTCCCAGAAGTAAAAGCGCGAGTGCGTGGATTTCGACGAGGTCGCAGCATACATTACTAAGTGAAGCGAGCGAGGTATGCGATTTATACTCGTTATATTATGTATTTTAATTAAATTGTAATTTTATTGAAATGCACATTCATTGTACAATACGCC